ATCCATCCATCCATCCACCCATTCATCCATCCATCCACCCATCCATCCATCCATCCACCCACCCACCCATCCATCCATCCATCCATCCACCCACCCACCCATCCATCTACCTACCCATCCATCCATCCATCCATCCATCCATCCATCCATCCACCCACCCATCCATCCATCCACTCACCCACCCATCCATCCATCCACCCACCCACCCACTCATCCATCCATCCACCCATCCACTCACCCATCCACCCATCCATCCACCCATCTATTCATCTATCTACCCATCCATCCATCCACCCACCCACCCACCCATCCATCCATCCATCCACCCATCCATCCATCCATCCATCCACCCACCCATCCATCCATCCATCCATCCATCCATCCATCCATCCATCCACCCACCCACCCATCCACCCATCTACCCATCCATCCATCCATCCATCCATCCATCCATCCATCCATCCATCATGAGACTTCTCAGCTACACTGAGCCAGAATTTGTACAAGGGTATGGAACTGAAGAATAATGTCTTAGGCCCAGATCAGGTGACTTAACCCATCAAGTCATATGCCTCCTACACCTTGAGTCTCAGGGAAGGTACAGGGGCTGTCTCTATATTCTCTGTCCACATCTTACCCATCTCAGTCTGGTCTTGCTGTGTCTGGGCTGCCCCATTCATTCTCCTACTTGATCTTTGCAGATGGTGTCAGGACATTTCATTTCTGACCCAAAAGGGATCTGTCAGTATTTGAAGGCTGCTGAGAAATGATTTGCTTCTGTTCTGGGCCTGACTTGATTGCTTTTTCTTTTTTGATGTAGGACAGTTTTGGTCTGAAAGAAGAGATAAAAAAAGGGGGAGCAGGGTGAGGCTAGGGAGATGGTTCAGTTGGCAAAGTGCTTGCTGAATAAGTATAAAGACCCAAGTTTGGATTCTGAGCATCTATGTCAAAAGCCAGGTGTGATAGTGTGTGTCTGAAATCCCAGTGCTGGGGAGACAGAGACAGGATGATCCTCAGGACTCACTCACCAGCCAGTTTAGCTGAATGGGTGAACTCCAAGTTCAGTGAGAGACACTACTGCAAAAAAAAAGAATAATGTGGAAAGTGATAGTAGAAGATACCCAGTGTTGACTTTTGGCCTCTACATGCACACCCACAAATGTGCATGTACACCTGTATACAAATGCAAGTATACATGAAAATGTACACATATGAGAGAGAGAGAGAGAGAGAGAGAGAGAGAGAGAGAAAGAGAGAGAGAGAGAGAGAAGAAGAAGGAGGAGGAGGAGGAGGAGGAGGAGGAAGAGGAGGAGAAGGAGGAGAGGAGGACGAAGAGGAGGAGGAGGAGAAGAAGCCAGCAAATAAAACAACTGAAATTATACAAGTGCTGATGTGTTGTAATTTGAAATGCTTTGAAATGCCTGTTCTAATGGGAGGTGAGCAAAGACCCCTACAGAGATCTCCCTCCCTGACTTCTGGGACTCCAGGTGTACTAAATTTCACTTGGTTCTATATGCAGGACAGTGTCAGAACATGGAGTTGGACTCTGGGAAGGTTAATCCTGTCACCCATTGTGCTTGCAGACAGAACATCTCTAGCCAAGGATTTCCAGCTCATACCTACCTCAGGGCAGAAGGACCCAACTGCAGAGAAGAGATGGCTCGTCGGCTTGGCTGGGTGAGGTTGCTAGATGAAGCTTTATACAGATGCAAAGGAGAAAGTCAGAATGCATGGCACACCCCACATTCTGCCAAAAGAAAGACCCCCTCCCCCCACTGCTCTTCCTGTACTCTTCCAGGGATCAACTGCTGTGAATAGATCAGATAAAAATTTGGCTTCTTATTCATATTTATTTCTAGATTAGGTTATTTTCTTGTCATTTGGGAAAAGATTTTTATTTAGCAGACTATGGTTTACAATGTATGTAAAAATATACATAGGCTTGGAAGAGAGAGGAAAAGGAGTATATGCAGTTATATAAAGAAATAGTTTTAAAAAATAAAGTCTTTAAAGAGTCAGTAAAAGTAATATAAAAGTTAAGCCATGTAAAGATGAAAATCACACAGAGTCTGGATAATATTGTCTTTGGGATTTTTAACAACAGAAAGACATTCGATTATAAAAGCTGCAACCTATTGATTGCTTCTAGACTAATATGGTTTGATCAGCCAATATCCCCTGAGAGGTCTCCAGATGAACCAACATCCAGAACAACTTCAAGGCAACTGTCTCAGAGAATACAGTGTCACAGAAAACTCTAGTCAGGACTTGACCATAATCCTAAAATTTTCTTTGTGTCCCTATAAGACTACCAGTGCCCCCAACCAGCAGGAAGTAGCCTAGAACACACTATACCCACATTCCTCCAAAATGGATTATGAATGTTTGTCTTTGTTTAGATTGTTGATTACAAATTATTATTAGTCATAGTCAATCTCTTTCTAAAAGAAGAAAGGGGAATATAATATAGAAATGTAGGATATAGATATGGTAGGATAAAAGGGTAGATTATTGAATCTACTTTTAAAGAGCAACAACTTGTTTAAAATATTTACATTGTTATGGATTTTAGTTTACTGATACAAATTTAAAGTTAATTTTGTTATACTGTATGTTTTTTTTACTCTTGTTTAAGGTATCATGTTTATGCAACTCGTTTAAAATTGTAGTATATCATTAAAAATAAGATTAATAGTTAATCATCTATGATAATCAAACTTATAATCATATTAGTTGTTTTCTAGGTATACAAAGACATATTTCAATTAGGTAGGTAATCTTCAAACACTTCAAAGACTTACAGAATATGGCATTTAAAATGTTTTAGAAACTTAGACTCTCTGGACAATGAGACACATCTGCTTCTGGCAGTACTGATTTACTTCAAAGAGGAAGATGGGCATTGAAGACACTCCATATAAAGTTTATCTTCTTCTTGTCAAAAATAGCCATTTGGTCAAGAAACTGCTCTTGCCTGGACTGCTGATAATATGTTGTATAAACTGGACATACAGGACCAATAGAAAAATGACCACTAAATTTGCCAAAATAAGGCAAAATGGTCCTTCAGATTCCTGCTTCATAGAGGAGATTGCCAGACATTCTACAGGGAAAAATGACTGAGAGACTCTAGGCCTAGAGGCTAAAAATGGCTAACCCAACATTGCAGAGGAACTTTGGGAGACTGTCCAGGCAGCTGTCTCTGTCATTCTAGATTTTTGAAAGCTGCTTACAATGCATTTCCTGTTTACATAGGTAATATTATATCCTTCTGGGGTCTCTGAAGTAGTGGAAGACTAGATAGTTATAATTACAGTTTTCTTTAGTCATGAAAAAAGGTAAATTATATATGAAACCTTAGACTTACAAATATAGGATAGATAGAATATTTTCTTTAATTTTGCCAAATACAAAAACTAGATATTGTAACTATGATTCTTACTTGATAACTGTTCTATTATATTTAATTTTACTATGTTAAAGTTTAGAACCTTCCTTTTTGATTAGATAGAAAAAGGGAAATGTTGGGGGATGTCTTTCTGTATGCTGTGAATATAAGTTGTTCCCATTGGTTAATAAATAAGCTACTTTGGCCTACGGCAAGGCAACTTAGATCCAGGCAGGGAATATAAGGAGAGAGACAGAAAAGAGAAAGGCAGGTCAAGGGAGATGCCAGCACCACCAGGAGATACAGGATGTGAAAGTACCTTGGCTTCTGATAGATTAATAGAAATGGGTTAAGTTATAAGAGCTAGTTAGCAAAAAGCCTGCCATAGGCCATGAAATTGGTAATTAATATTAAGCATCCGAATGATTATTTTATAAGCATCTGAGGGACCTTGGGGCTGAGTGGGACTGCAGGAACCTCCCAGCTACAAGACCGAACCACTTTCCAGATGATCAGGAAACTTTTGCAATCAGTGAAACTCCCACTCACAGTTTTGGATTGAATTTGTCACTGCCTGTTGAGGTCGAAACCATTCAATACCTCTGAGCAAGGTGAACCTTAAGACAGCATGGTCACCTGGGAAGAAAGAAGAAACACATTAAAACTCTATAACATTAGCACCCTCCCAACCCCCGACCCCCACCCCCGCCGCGCCCAAATAAAACAAATCTTCTCGGGTAAAGCTCTTGTTACACTCACAGGTTCTAATGTCAATGACAAAGCATTACTGAGAGGTGGCAAGCCTTTGTATCTGTGATGGGGGTCTGGGCTGAGAACCAGAAGCAGGACTCAGGACTTCTCGGTTCATGTGACTCTCATTTTCTCTGATGAGGTCTAATGAACTGGACCTCCATTCCCTGCTGCCCCCTAGAATCCCATTTGCAGAGGCTTCCCCTTGTTAGTACATTTTAGGGGCAGAAAATTCCTTGGACTTTTTCCTTTCAAGAGTTGCCAGCTCAGCTGGGTGGGCTCTTGCTGTGGGGGCTGGGGGGTCTCCCCTCTTTATCCCAGTGCAGACCAGGCCCCTACTACATCTCCTTTTCTCTTTTAGCACAAGACTTAGCTCCAACATTAAATTTCTGGGGGCCAAAATTTCCATGACCGAAAGCAACTTGGGGAGAAAAGGGTCTATTTCATCTTACAGCTCACAGTCCACCGTGAAAGCAAGTCAGGGCAGGAGATGAAGACCGGAACCTGGAGGCAAAAACTGAAGCAGAGGCCATAGAGGAGTGCTCCTTGATGGTTTGCTTAGCTTACTTTCTTATACTTCCCGGGCCCACTTGTCCAGGGGTAGCACTCCCCTAGTGTAGTGGGCCCTTCAGAACCAATCATTAATGAAGAAAACGCCCTACAGACTTGCCTACAGGCAGTCCAGTAGCATTTTCTCAATTGAAGTTTTCTCTTCCTTGATGACTCTGGCTTGTGTCAAGGTGAAAAAAACAAATGTGTGTGTGCGTGTGTGTGTGTGTGTGTGTGTGTGTGTGTGTGTGTGTGTGTGTGTGTGTGTGTGCGTGTGCGCGCGTGCGTGCGTGAGAGAGAGAGAGAGAGAGAGAGAGAGAGAGAGAGAGAGAGAGAGAGAGGCTTCTCTGTTGCTGTGATAAAACACCATGCCCAACGTGACCTATCAAAGTGTTTAACTGAGCTGATGACTTCAGAGGGTCGGAGTCTACGAGAGCACGGTGAAGGGTGAAGGAACAGTGGAGAGCTCACATCTTAATCTACAGCCCTGAGGCAGAGGCACACTGGGAGTGGTGAGTGACACACTTCCTCCAACAAGGCCACACCTCCTAGCTCTTCCCAAACAAACAATTCCGCCAATGGGGGGGACGACGACTAAGTACTTAAAAATATGAGCTTATAGGGGCCAATCTCATTCAAACCACCACCTACATGTGGCATATATACATGTATGTACACACATATATACACACATATGTATCTATATATAGATCAATAATAAATGTATCTCATTAATAATCATAGCACCCAGAGATAATCCTACCAATACGTTTAATTTCTACATTTCTCTTACATTTTCATAAAACTGTGTGTATATGTGTATATGTGTGCATGCATGAAAACATGCACACTTATCACCATGTGTTTAGTTTCCACACCTAGCTCTATAACATAGATACGTCTTGACTGGTAGGGTATCCATGGTGATAGATGGATGGGCAGCAGCCCAAGAGGTCACCACTGCCAGGTGCTCAGCATGTGGGCCGGGACAGGTGCATCCAGCAGCATCCTGGGGCCCCTCCTAGGTTTTTTCTGGATAGCCCTCCTCATCACTGGCATGACACACTTGAGCACAAGTCCTCCTGTTTCTCAGAGGGCCAAGTTAAGACGCTGACCGCTGCACTAGACACCACCTTTGTGCCCTGTTGGGTCTTAAAGTTAGCTCTTCAGATCCGTGGTCTCTCTTCACATGTCTCCTGCTGGAGAGATGGGGCCGTGGGTCCGAGGTAGACTTACCGCCGCTCCATGGTGGGTACTTGTATGTAGTCTTGGGAGGGGTTCTTCCATCCTTAAATTTCTTCCCCATGTACTCGATATAAGAGCGGGTTGCCCGCCAGTTACAAAACCTGTGGGAAGAACGGCTTCTGGTCACACAGGAGGGCTGGACCAGTCCTCCCAAACTGTGGGGTGTCTGACACAGAGAATGCTAACCTGAGATTGCTGCCTACTGAGGATGTTCTCTGTGTCCAGGCCTGGCCCCAGTAAAGGACTGACCTGCACACTGTGTGGGAGATTTCCTTCTGGAACCATCGGGGGTGGGAGGGGGATGGAGTCTGTGGAGAAGCCTCTATGCCCAGGCCTGGGTTGTAGTCAACTATGTTCACCTGACTGCCAGACTGCACAGTCTCTGTCTAATCCTCTGCTACATCATCAGGGGACCCAGTGGGGTCTCCATGCTTCCTTTCCTGAGAGTCTTGCTCCTTCCCTGATCCCAGCAGGTCTTCCCCTGGAAGATAACTCCCTCCTCAGAGCGGCGCATTTACGGTCACTTGAGAAACCTTGCTTCTCTGATGCTCCTGAGACACTCATCACTTTCTCTCTGGTCCCTTCCTCCCAGGACTCCTTAGTTGGCAAGACTAGGTTTAATTGTCTGCACTTGCACTCCCTTTGCTTGAGGTGGGTGGGGGTGGGGGTGGGGTGGAGTGTGGGGAATGGTCCTTGCTGTCTCCCGTCTCCCGTCTCCTTGCTCCCCAAGGGTCAGACTATGTTACTACAGTTGCTTTGCTCTAATGTGCAAAGATGCATTGTTTATGGAGGTAAGAGAACAAAAGGCTAGAACCCTGGTCTAATCACTTTCCAAGTGACGTTAGGCTAGTCCCTGAGCAACTCCGAACCCCAGTCTCCTCATGTGTAATCTGGGGACCACAATGCTTTGTCTCCACCTTCTTCTCATGACCCTGAGTGTTCGTATGTGCTGAGACACAACACGACAGCAAGTGTGCACAGTGCAAGTATCAGTAAGTATATAAGCCGGTGAAGAGTCAACTCCAGAACCTCCACAAAGCAAGTCTAAGTTTCCTAAGGACATAGTAGGGGCAGGGAAGCTGAGCACTGAGTTAAACAAGGAGACACACACATTTTCTAGAAGTCTCTGATCCTTCCAAAGGCGTCAAGATAAGTTTCTATGAAGCCCTGGGTAGGAAAAGTAGAATTAAGTTCTGAATAACAAGTGGTATCCAAAAGGGTTCATTGCTTATCTTAAACCAAGATTTTGTGTTTCGTTCAATTTTGAATAAAACAACTTGTCTTAGGGATCGAACTGGTAAGCATCCTTTATAACTTTATTTATCCATTAGATACTTTACTTTTATTTTACTTGTAGGGGTGTTTTGCCTGCATGTATGTCTGTGCACCATGTGCATGCCATACCCATGAAGGCCAGAAGAGGGCATCAGATCCTCTGGAATTGGAGTTACGGACAGTTGTAAACTGCCATGTGGGTGCTGAGAACTGAACCCGGGTCCTCTGAAAGATCAGTCAGTGCTCTTAACCACTGAACAATCTCTCCAGTCTTTTTTTTTTTTTTTTTTTTTTTTTTTTTTGGTTTTTCGAGACAGGGTTTCTCTGTGTAGCTTTGCCCCTTTCCTGGAACTCGCTTTGGGGACTAGGCTGGCCTCGAACTCAGAGAGATCTGCCTGCCTCTGCCTCCTGGGTGCTGGGATTAAAGGCGTGTGCCACCACCGCCCGGCAAATATTTGTTTTTAATATTTATTTTTTTGAGATGCTACAATTACATAATTTCTTCCTGCCATTTCCTCCCTCCAAATCCTCCCATATACCCCTCTGTCCTCTCTTCCAAACTCATGGCCTCTGTTTTCATTAATTGTGATTGCATGCATATATGTATATGGACATACACATATATTGTTAAACATAACCTGTTCATTCTCTATAATATTACTTGCATATATGTTTTCAGGGCTGATCTCTTGGTGCTGGATAACCAGTTGGCATGCTCTTCCCTGGAGAAGACTATTTTTCCTGCTCTCAGGTATTCCTTAGTTGCCTGGAGTTCTTTGTGCAGTGTTGAGGCCTCATGGGCTTTCCCCCATCCACTTCAGCATGTCGGTTGGTGGTGTCCTTGTTCAGTCCATGTTTGAGTGGTCATATTGGTTAGTCTTTATGGGTGTGACTTCTGATATTGTTAGGAGACATAATCTCTTAGAAAGCTACACCTTTATTTTAATTGAAGGGTACATTTAAAACCTGCATTTTTATTTGTGTGTATTTGTGTGTGCCTCTTTGCCTGTCTGTGCACCATATGCATTAATGCTTACAGAGCAGGCAGAAGAGGGAGTTATATCCCCTAGAACTAGAGTTGTGGTAGGTGGTTGTAAGCCTGTAGGTGGTTGTAAGCTGCCTGATGTGGAACTGATGTTAGGTCTTCTAAGTGCTTTTAACTACTGAGCCATTTCTCCAGCCCCAAGGTCACATTTTTTTTTTTTTTTTTTAAAGAAAAAGGGAAGCCTACCAGCCAGAGTCACACTATGATATAAGCATCATCATTAGGCTTCTTTGGTGGTTTGAATGAAAATAGCCCCCAAAGACTCATAGAGAGTGGCATTATTGGAGGTGTGGCCTTGTTGGAGTAGGTGTGGCCTACTCCAACAGTTTTAGGAGGAACTGTCACAGGGGTGGGCTTTGAGGTTTCAGATGCTCAAGCCAGGCCCAGTGTCGCTCTCTCTTCCTGCTGCCTGCCAATCTGGGTGTAGAATTCTCAGCTACCCCTCCCACATCATGTCTGCCTGCACGCTGCCAATGCTTCCCACTGACGATAACGGACTAAACCTCTGAACCATAAGCCAGCCTCAGTTAAATGTTTTCTTTATAAGAGTTTCCGTGGTCATGGTGTCTCTTCACAGCAATAGAAACCTTAACTAAGACAGCTTCTCTAGGAAAATTTTGGCGAACCACTGTTTCATTGAGGCTGCGGGAAACAGAAGAAGGCTCTGAGAGACGGCCAGAGCTGGACAGTCAGCTGAGACATCTCAGGCCAGATGCTGAGCACAACCCTTGGCAGGACAGGTTATGAACAGTCTGCAGGCATTCTCTTCATTCCAGTTTCGAATTTTGCCCCTCATAGGCTCCTTGTCAGGTTTCCATTTTGAGTTAATTGCTACATTGGTCCCTGGGATTTGGTGAGGGAGGTCACATGAAACTGAATATTTGATTCTTCTCCAAGTAACTGTGCCTCAAGTGGTGATTATGAGAACTGGATAAAAACCGGTAAACTGCTCTGACCTGCTTCCTCCATGATGTTCTTTATTATAAACAGTTTCCGCCTGGACAGACTTTGTCCCTCAGGAGCTGTGGTCTACCTTGTGCTTAGTGGGGAAGTCTGGGCTTAAGTACATATCATGCTCCCAATCCAAGAAAGCACACAGAGGGGTGTGGAGCCAGCATTCTGGTGTGGGTTTCTTCTGTCTGTCCCTTAATTCAGTGTGGGATAGAATGTAGTGGGTAGGGTAAGAGCAGGCATCTTAGTTCCTCACAGACCTGGAAACTGTGGGGTACATGGAGACAGAAAACTATTTGACTTGGCAGTCACTGGGTAAGAGAATTTAAGTACCTTTTCCAGAAGTACATGACGACAGGAAAGATGGATATGATAGCCCCATGGAAGATGGTCCGGTCTAGGTGGCCTTCTGTAATGGCAGCAAAGATGATGTCCTTCTGAGACTCAGAGATGTTCACCTACCCATAGGATGGGAGAACATCACTGTTAGAGGTTCTTGGAAAGTAAAATGACTTCTCTTGACCCCTAACATCCCCTGAAATGCCATCGCTCCAGAAGGCAGTTTCCTGTGGAGTTGCTAGGCAATGGGCATCTTGTTGACCCAGGACTTATGAGGAACCAGCAATTCAGGTTTAGGGTTTTTTTTGGGGGGGAAAGGGTCACGGTGGAGCTGGAGACCCCTTACCCTCAGCTTTGGAGGGACATCAGAAACCAGGAAAAGCTTTAGAATAATGTTAAGTTTGGAGCGCATCAGGACGATGTCATTCTCATTGTACGCTCTGTTGATCTGCAGCACGTGAGCTGAACTCACCAGGTCGTTGAATCTACAAGAGAGGCATATGGGAAAATTCAACAAGAGAAGACAAAAGCAAGTGCTGGACAGGATGCCTGGCTCAAACCTATTTCTGGCAAGAAAAGGGCAGGGCTGTTTCTGAGCCAGATTGTGATATCATTCACTCAATCTCAATAGTTCCACTAGCAAACACTGAGCACGGACCACAGGTCAGGTTGTATGCCTAGTGCTCTGTCCAGTACATTTCTTCACCACAATCCCCACCTCCACCCCCTTCTTCGTTTCATGGTCCCCTCCTACTCCGGAAGTGTGTCTCACTGATGACTAATTCAAGAGCTTCAGGGCTCTTCTGCTGTTTGCCCTTTGCTGCTGGCTGGAGGCCAACACTCAGACGCAGGTGGATTCCCCCCATGTGGAGCCCCTTAGGCAATGGCTTAGATTGCGCCTCTGTGGTGACGGGGAGCCACCAAAACATTCCCAATGGGGAGAGAAACAACTGGTTTCATGCTTTTTATAAGGGTCTCCGGTTGCTCTGCAATGGTGGTTCTCAACCTTTCTAACACTGCGACCCTTTAATTCAGTTCCTCGTGTTCTGGTGACCCCCCCCCCCCCGCCATAAAATTACCTTTGTTTGTTACTTCATAACTGTAATTGGCTACTGCTATGAATCACAACGTAAATATCTGATATGCAGAATATCTGATATGCAGACCCTAAGCGGTCGTGACCCACGGGTTGAGAACCACTGCTTTTCAAAGACTCGTTTGCAGAGGGAAGGCAGAGCAGTGGAGAGGAAGTGGGAGGTAGCAGGAGCAGCTGCAGAGAGGCTGGCTGCTCCCTCTCCTTAACAACCTTGTCATCTCATCACCCTCACTCATCCTTCAAAGTTCAGCCTGTCTCTTGGCTCCATGATGGGGGCTAGCTTGGGCTGGAGACAGCTGGGAGGTTCTGATGATGAGAGTGGACATTTTGCTCCTCATCTAGCCCAGAGTCCTGCCAGACAAGGCCAGCTATGGACTGGTACCAGGGCCTTGGTGGTGAGAGGGTGTAGTCCAGGAGCTAGCACTAGACATTTCCCCTGGGTGAATGTAGTCAAATGTTCCAGACGCTGAGATGTGAAATGCTTAGTTCGCTACCCCAAAATGCAGCTTGCTAAAGGGGAAATTGAGATACTCTGAGCTTCCTGTAACTGTGCTAATGGATGTTCTTTACTGACTTTGCTTTTGCCTCTCAATTTGAGGGATGTACAGAAGAGCTGTGCCGTTAACACACTTGCTGGCTTGGGTCAGCCTCTGCAGTCCTCCCGAGCCTAGCTCCTTTCGTGATCTCTTTGTTTCTCTTACATCCCTGGTCCTGCCCCTGGGGACCCTGTGTGGAGCCCTGATAAGGCTGGTCCAGGTTAGCTCCAAGGCCAAGACACTGTGCCTGAGGACTCCCCATTGTTTAGCTATATTCCCTGTGCCCAGTTCTACCCAGCACGTGTCGTCACAAGAGACTTCCCCACCCTTTACGCGTGTCCTGTCTGCATCCTGAGTCTGTGGGCTGATAGACATACATGTCTATAATGACAGAGCCTGTGCCCAATAAGAAGACAATCAGTGAATGTGTTTAGAACTGAACTGAGTGCCTCCGTGGAGTACAGTGGGCCAAAGTCCCCTGGATAGTCTACGTTTTCTGAGAGTCTCATTAACTGGCATCCCTGGCATGGTGAGCATAGACTGGTGTGCTCTCCTTAGTCCATTCTTCTACTTCTCCCAGTGGAAATGTCTTCCAGGAGTTACTAATTTTTTTCCAAATATTTTTCTCTGTTGTACTTTTTACTCTTAAGTTTTAACTCATTCATACAACAGAGCAGCATCTAAAAAGAAAAATATTTATTGTTTCTATGAAAATAAACTAGAACAGAGCATGCTGGTGTACACCTGTAACTGCAATCTTGGGAAACAGGGAAGTCTTGTGTTCAGGTCAGGCTGGGCTACAGAGTCAGACCAGTTGGAGAGAGAGAGAGAAAGAGAGGGGGAGGAGGAGGAGGAGGAGGAGGAGGAGGAGGAAGAGGAGGAG